GTGGCAGCGGTGCACGTGTGTTATATTATCCCACCGCTGCCACCAATTGTAACGTGGTCGAGGAAGGGGTTATTGAGGGAGATGTTCACACGACGGATACACGCTCCAGACGCTTTATTGATCTTATCAGTCACATTTATGATTATTGTGTCGCTGGCCATATCATGGGGGCGGTCACCATTATACTGGTTCCTACACTCGTATTTAAACAAGAAACTAAGGAAAAATGCATCAAGTCTTACCTTGAACATGCCTTGGGTCCTCCTCCATCATGGGACTCAGAGTGCCTAACTTCTCCAGACGAGATACACTACGGGTCTGCCTGGTCAGGAAAGGCTGTGGCGAATTCCGTAACGCCTCTCTGATATATGTAGCTTGCTACATCCCTCCACGCTAGTCTCCACCAGACTTCTTTTGCGGGGTGAATAAATCGTAGAAATCGGCCAAAAAAGGGTATTAATTGGCCAGAGAAGATAGCCGACCAGAGAAGCTCCATTGCCCCGCCATGGCGGGGCAATGGCAGAGATAGTCCAGTGCTGACCCGCCACGGAATCACTTCTGAACGAAATGAAATGGAATTTGTCTGCAGGCCTGTGGCTATGCACCCTTCTGTTACGGTAGTGTACATGCGGAATGCTGAAGTTGACTGGCAACACACGTTTGTTCTGATTGTTTTGGGTTCACACTGCGAGGAAGAGTATGTGACAATGTCTTCTGTACAGGCACGTATCATCCACACCATGTACCAGTGCACAACGTACGACCTGGATTTCACCTTTATCCGGCACTGTTCGATACACTGAAGGAGTTCTCACGGGCTGTTGTTTTGGCGAGGGGCATGGCCTTATTCGTATAAGCTTAAGTGGCGGCGCTAACATAAGTTACCTAACTTGAGCCCGTCGTCACTTTGTCCTGTACCCTTATTTTGTTTATTGTATGCTGAATTAATAAAAAAAAAACAGTGGCCTCTTGTAACTTGTTGTTTTCCCGCATGGAAGAACAACTCTGAGTTTACCCTTTCCCTCTATCATTATTTTTTATTAACACGTTCACCGCAGTTGAATCATTACTATCTCTTAAAACTAAGATTCACCAACTAACAGCCATTGCAACTTTTCTAACAAATCGTTTATTTTGCAGTGTAACCAAGAAATGCGTAACAGATTTTCAATACATTTTTTTATTCCGCAGATTTTCCGAATAATCGGAAAATCAATTAATGTTCACATATAACGTTAGTACACCGTACATTCATCTGATAATTAACTATTATCAAATAAATAATGAGGCCGAAACGTCCCCAGCATGTGGCCGAAACGTCCCCAGCACGTCCGAAACGTCCGCATGTGGCCGAAATGTCCTGAAACGTCCATGGCTGAAATGTCCTGCTCGACTAGGAGACTAGACACCAGGCTAGCTGCCGACCGGATGGGCAGACAAAATGCCCCAGAGGCGTCGCCAAAAAGGTAGCGTTGCACAATACCCGTTGGACGAGATTTGCTGACCCTACATCCTACATTTCGGCCTAGTGGACGTTGGCCCAAAAAGTTTTTTTATGGCCGTGATGCGTGACCTGCCTGACCTGTTCATCGCCAACACCGGTATGTTAGGTCCCGGAGTTTGAAGGAAGGGGGGAAGAGGCGGAGGAGAAGCTGGTGTGTTACGCCGAGGGGCGGCTATACCGATACAGAGAAAAAGGTAGAGGCAAGGAATCCGGGGCAAGGGGGAAGCACCCTCCCGAGCCGAGCAGGGTCAGTGACGCCGCCCAAAAAGGGCTAGACGGGAGCCCTTTTGGGCGGCGTCACTGACCCTGTTCGGGAGGGTGGAGGTACATGTATGTCACTGTCTAGTATAGTATAGTAGGACTGCAAGCAAAAGTCCTGCAACAGTCGCCACGGCTATCCTCAGACCGTAGTCTGATGTTGTTTTGCGTCATAATTTGTTCAAGCGCATGGAGTTTGATAGAAGTTCTCCATGCTTCAAGCAGTCTCTACTATGTTGCATAAATTATGCATCTTTCATATGTATTTACAAATAGCCGTGGCGACTCATATAAACGTTAACGTTACTTGCTTCCCAAACATACAAAATTACAGGGCTCAAAATCCAAAATATATTGTGCAATGTGCAAAATGCTAAATTATCTCCAAGCAGATCCCTATCGGTGGCAAAAGACGGAGTATCCATTAGTCATAGGAGTTTAGCTCGCCACCGATAGGGATCTGTCTTTTGCCACCGATAGGGATCTGCTTGGAGATTACAAAATGCACATGTTTTTCGAAATTTGCACTTAAAAATACTGTATTTTGAATGTGCAACTTTGCACCTAGAGCAGCTAAAATTTTTGCAAACGTGCAATTTTGCAAATACCTAAAAAAAACGTACTACTATTTCAAGCCCTGGCCTTCAAGTTTCAAGGGCATTATACCCTGTGGGCTTGTAAACACAGTCACCAGTAGTACTAGGTCAAAGGTACATGTACTCAGTACATGTACCAGTCTGGTGTCTGAGCGGTTAGACTTGCAACAGGGCAGAAGGTATGATGTTTTCCTTTTGATTAAGGTATTACTGTTACATTTAACATTTTAAGGTGCCGTGTTCAACCAATAAGTAGGCAGTGAACGCTTAAACAGAAGGTACAATGTATTTAGAGATAATTTTGTAAAAAAACCTGTCCTTTTTCCGACCTGTGTTCCATGCAAATGCACAACATTACCTTTGGTAATTGTCTGAACAAACACCCCCGCAACATGAGCTTTATCATGCTAATGCTAACAGATATATAAAGATCACAACGATTAAAGCTGCACAGCTACATGTATTTCACTTCAGTGCAGCGCCTTGCATAATGGTCGTGAAAACTTATGCAGGTCTTTGGTCATTTTGCCGGTGGAATGTTCTATTGCAATAGGGGTGCCCTAATTCTGACCTAGTATTAAACACAAGTCAATCTGAGAAAAAAATTTAGAATCCAAAATACACAAATTATCACTAAAACAATCTACAACTGTTTTTCTGTCCCAAACAACTCCTCTTACTCGAAGTATTACCATTACGCGACTTGCTCCAAAGCAGCTGTTTCAATCAATACTGCATTTTGACACGCTTGTCAACCCCCTGAAAGAAGCGTGAAATTCAAACAGATTTTTCACTCGTCTGTTGCCAGAGCGTACAAACTGAAACAAACGTTGCAAGATAATCGTTATCAACACAAAAACGTCCATTTCTGTGGGTATTTTATATATGCACATAGCCTGAGTGTCAGCCTTGTTTAAGTTGTTAGCTTTCGTCTGCTCCCCAAGATCCGCTCCCGTTGGCAGGCAGCGGACGAAAGCTAACAAGGCTGACACTCAGGCTAATATGCACATACGCCCATGCATAACGTCGCAACAAGGATTTTTCAAATTAGACGGAATTAGGGGTATGTTGGAATTAGGGCACCCCCCCCCCCGTCAAGGCTTGCAGTCTAATAATTTATTATGAAATATAAACATTATTTCTGAGTTTTGCTTCCCTTTTTCATGAGCTGTATTAAATTGATGTTTAGGTCCAGAGTCCAAATTACCCATCCTGAGAACTGTGATTGACAGTGTATAGTTATATATTAATTATTATATATACCATTACACCTTTTGCTGTGTGTGTCGCTTTTGGAAATTCAAATACCGGATTTGGATGTTGTCACAACAGTTGTTTTATTCATGTTATACAGGGCATACCACCAGCCTTACATGACTGCCATACCTCTGGTGCTTGACTAGAAACAATGGGACGCTACAGTGGGAAAACCTGTCGTCTTATGACGCTGATTGTCCTTACTGGACTCTTCTTTGTCGTGGAGATAATAGTCGGTTATGTGACCAACTCCATGGCGCTAGTGGCGGACTCCTTCCACTGCCTGTCTGACATGGTGTCCCTGATTGTAGGGCTATCTGCCATGAGGGTGAGCTACTACAAAGTTCCCATGTCCAAGTGTTATCAGTATATTCATCGTGAAGCGTTATTCAAATTTGGTCGTTTTAATTCTACGTAGTGCATTATTTGTCATGCTAAATTCAGTGTTAAGCGTTAATGAATAATTCTGCGTTTCGCCTAAACCTTGAAGGCTTCATTCCCAAAGGCCTAACCAAAATCAACCGCAAGGCAAACCAACGAATTGACTTGTTTTGTCGCAGAGCTCTGCAGAGGTATCGCTGACTCAGGGCTGTATGAGCAACCTCCATGGAGAAGCTCTGCAGGGCTGAGGGCTGTATGAGCAACCTCCATGGAGGAGCTCTGCAGAGCTGAGGGCTGTACGAGCAACCTCCATGGAGAAGCTCTGCAGAGCTCCTCCATGAAGGTTGCTCATACAGCCCCGTTCTCTTGATTTTCCAGTTCTCCAAGAAGCGAGTAGTTCACCTGAACACGTTTGGCTGGGTGCGTGCAGAGGTTCTGGGAGGACTGGTGAACAGTATCTTCCTGTTGGCTCTGTGTTTCTCTATCCTGGTAGAGTCCTTCAAACGTCTCATCATGCCTGAAATTGTGGAGACTCCACTTATCATGGTCATCATCGGGGGAGTTTCTCTGGCCTTTTATATCTTTGGGATGGGTCTTCTTGGGGGTGAGTTGGACACCAGCTTTACTACCCATAGAAGTGGCTCATACATGTATTCTACATTCTAGGTTTGTCATAGAAAAATGTCCATAGTCCCAGGTAAAGGCTCTTGTGCTTTCGGTTTCCCAACTGACCCTAGCAACCCACCAACCCACCAACCTTACTTTTATCAACCATGCACTTACCACTTGATAAAAGAAAGGTTGATGGCTAGAAAATTTTTGTTCAGACATAATGGAGTTTCAAAACCGTCTGCACAGACTGAAATGTCATTTAACATATTTTCAGAATCAACATTTTCTTCAGTTGACTGGGTGAAATATAATGTCCACACGTACAAGCAACCAGGTGGACGGGTGCTTGAGACAGTTCTGATGCATTGCCATTGTTAAACTTTATTTGTTGAATCATTTTAGCCAAAATCTAAAAAAAGTTTTTAAAAATCCCCACCTACCAACCATAGTTTTTTAAGGACAGAAACACGCACAGTGAACATTAATTTTCCTAGTCCTATGACACTAATTGATCACCGACTCAATGTCTGGCTTAAAATAATCCTCAGCTTTTCCCAGTTTCACTGGGGTTAGACATGCTTGCTTGCAAGTGCCTGAAGGATTGATGGCAGCCCGCCAGCTGGTGCCTGAGTCTGGCACGTGTGTTTACATAATGTCTAGATTGAAGAATGAAAATCTGAACTTAATGTTATTATAGGCAGTGTGCAAAATACCTGGTTGCCCAGTTGCCCTGGGCAACCAGATTCTACTTGGGGCAACCTATTTTTGAACCCAGGTTAAGCCCAGTGTGCTACCTGAATTTTAAGAATGCCCCTCCCCCCCTCCCACAAAATCATGCCCACTTGACTTGCACCCGGCTGTAGCTGGCAGATACTTTTTAATTTTAGGTATTAATGGCAATTACTAGTATCAGTTAAGTTACTAGTACTAAAGGCTGTCAAGAAATATTGTCAAAGTCTTATGTATATAACATTACTTAATTTGAGGAAAATGAAGTAGTAACTTACAGGTGGGGCAACCTAAAATTCTGATGGGCAACCAAATTTTTGCCGTAGGTTGCCCACTGGGCTCACTGGGCAACCTGGTTCAAAAAAGTATTTTGTACATTGATAGGTAATTCATACATTGCTAAGATTTACTTGACTGTGTACTTGCTATTTCAGGTAAAAATGAATTATGTTCAGTTCAGTATATACATGTAATTTGCTGTCAAATCCGAAATTTCCATTGAATACATACATAAGCAAGGCCTTTGTGTAATGTTGCAAACTGCACAAAGTGTAAATTGGCCAATCAGTAAGATGGAAAATTTAAAAATGTTTGAATTTTTACTTTAGGTCTTATGGTGGGCAGACGTGGCCACACCAAGCACCCCCCAACAGAACAGGAACCTGACCAGGTATCTCCCCCCAGGGAACTGATGTCTGATACAGACTCTGGGTATGAAGTTGACCCTGACATCAGGTAAGACTATAATTATAGTCTTTCTCTACAGTAGAGTCAAACCATAGGACCGATTTACACGAGGCAAAAAATGTCATTCGGCCTGCATGGAATGCTGTGCGACAACTTTTTGGGAGTCAAATGTTACCTTGTTGCAGCATATATTGTTGATGAACTGAGAAGAAGTGCATCTGAGAAATTACCACATGTATTCTTGGCTTGGCTTCGTGTCCAAAGATAACTAGTATCAGTAATACATGTAGACGTGCATCTGAGAAAGTACCATATGTAGTGTCCAATCTGTAATCTACAGAAGGAGAATGCCTTCAAGTTGATAATGGTTTGTTTGTTTGTTTGAACTCATGCCTGCAGGAGAGACAGTGACCACCAGCTTTCTGAGTCTCACTCCAGTATTGACTCTGACATGGACACCTCTGTCTGCAGGCCACAAAACACTGGTGAAACTCATAATTAGTTTTTAACATTTACATGTACATATTACTTTGAACTTTTTTTTATCCTTTGATACACTAAGGCCCGGTTTATGATACAGGGCCCCCTTGGAAATCAGTTGTTTATCAACTGAAGGGGCGACCCTCAAGATTAATAAATAAAAAATAGATAAATGATACAAAATCTGTTACAAATTGATTTGAATTGAAAAAATAAAAAAATCAAATTATTTGCGAACATGAACACTCCATTTCGGTTCCGTTGCAATTTATTTTGAACCACCTCACGAGGTGGTCTGAAGTGATATATAACGCTTCGCGTTTGTCGAATTGTAATCATGAACGCACGGAAGCGAATTGTTCCGGGTTGCCGCCATACACCTATAGTTCACAGCGTGACTTTCTGTACTGCAAGAAATTGTACTTCTAATTCCGTATCAATTCACGCTTTTTGAATCATGAATGGGTCCTTTTATATATTATATATATATAATTAAGTGCTTGGTTACCGATTTCCCTTTGTTTCTGGGGTTTAATTTAAGGCAGCAGAGAGATGGATGTAACTATTGTGAAGTCTTTGGGGAGTGCCATTAACCATTTCTATAAATTTTCGATAGTTTTTTTTCTTGTGTACCTTATTGTTACAAAACTATGTTGAAAAGAATACCTTTTTAGTTTATTTTCCCAGAGACATCTAAGCTTGAAACGGTTCTGTTGCATTCACTGATAAATCATGTTACCGATAGTTTTCAAATTCAATATTGTTTGTGTCAGGAGCCAGTCTAATATTTGACAGCTGTGTGTTGACATTCTGCAGCTGTAACAGACGCCACAGAGATGAATCTGCAGGGTGTGTTCCTGCATGTGTTGGGTGACGCCCTGTCATCCCTCATCATCGTCATCAATGCACTCATCATCATGTATGTGCAGGGAGACTGGACCAAGTACTGTGACCCTGTCCTCAGGTATCATATATTGAGTAGAGCATCACTAACTATAGAAACAAGAATTTGGAGGTCTCATACCTCCATGAAATATACAACATGTAGGAGCTTTTGTCCTCACTAATTATGCAAATGACGTCTACATTAACATAATATATGCATAGTGATGTTAACCTGTAAGTAACTTGCACATGTCACAAGGTATGAAATTCCCATCATTCACAAATAATACGGAATCGCAGAATTTTCACATAAATTATGCAAATTAGATCATCATTTGTATAATTGGTATCTGTTGGTGTTCCATCTGCCATAGATTATATAGATTGCATGTATAAAAGTACTATCATATAAAACACTAATTCATTTGCATAATTTGCATCTAATAATGTCTCTCTCAGCTACCTACATACCAAAAAAAAGTTGTTCCTATCTGGATTTATGGGGTTTAGAAGATTTCACCAGAAATTCCCCTGCAGTTCCAGAACAAGCTGCTGGGGGGGGGGGGCAAATATAATCATTTCAGTGCTTGATGTGGTATGGCATCTTGTACATTATTATGATCAGATAATGAATTCTAAACTTACTATATGTTTAGTATTGAATTTCCTTATTGTTTCCTGTTTTGCAGCATCCTAATGGTGGTCATCATCATTGCCACAACTGTGCCTCTGTGTAAGTTTATTTTGCTATTCATATGATGTTAATATATAGGATTATAAAAAGTTTAAGTATTAAGGCCAATAATGTATCATATCTACTCCTATGTGTTACATGTGCCTCTTTACTTCTAATACAAGTTTAAATTTAACTTATTTAGCTCACATACATGAAATCTGCAAAGATGTGTACAAAATAAGCATCTGATGGATGCAGGTATAGAGGAAAGATTAGGACAAATTGTCTTTGAAAGACTATGCTGTAAAGTTGCTTTTGCCAGGATGTGACTGCTGTTTCAGTACCAAGGAGAGCTTCAACTACTCAACATTTTTAGATATGAACCGTGTAAACCAGGGCATTGTTTACACTATTTATGAGGAACCACAAACACAATGGGGAGATCTGTGTCACACGGATTCTTGTTTTGAATTTTCAGTGAGACAGTCAGCATCCATCCTGCTACAGTCTGTGCCGCCCTCTGTTAAAATGAAGAAGCTCAGGTCTAAGTTGCAGAAGGTGAGGCTGGGCAATGGTTATCATGCAGGGCAGCGCCACCTAGCAGGAAAGAAACATATTACAGTGTATCTACAACACTAACTGCATCTGAGATACATGACCAGTAACATGTAACTGTTACTGTATCTTTGCTCTTAGTACTATAATTGATGTAATCAAATATTTGAATGAATGAATGACAATACAAATACCTTTTTCATTAAATGGTTAGAATTATAACTAACCACGTTAATGCTTATTAAAAAAAAATATATTTCTTACTGTCCAGATTCCAGGTATTGTGAACATCCACGAGTTTCACGTGTGGCCGCTGACGGGTGAGAAGATTGTCGCCACGATTCACGTCGTGTTCCTGTCCCCGCTGAACTACACGCGGATCTGCCACCAGATCAAGAACCTGTTTCATGATGAAGGAATTCACTCCACAACCATACAGCCCGAGTTTTCACAGGTTTGTACAGTCAGGGTGTCTTTGATTTCCTTGGGTAAAATTTCTTTTCTCTGAACTTAAGGTCCAGCAGTTGAAGAAAGTCCTTTTCTTCCAAGTTTTTCAATGTAACAGTGCAATTTTGTTTCATTAAAAGTTCAAAATCTATTGTTTTAATTGTAAATCAGCCTGGTATGTTCACTTCATGGCTCATATTGTAACATTTCCGGCTATCACGGGGTGCCTTGGCCTGTTTTTTTTTCGCCCTGTTGTTTCATATTTTTTCTGAAGAAATCCGAGAAACAACAATTTAGATTGATGTGGCCTTAGGTTGTGAAAACTATCAGACGTTTCAAGCAGCATCCACAATTTTTCATTCCAAGTGCCAGAAAGCTAGACCTCCTCAACTTTTCCTGATGAAAATGAGTGGATGCTACTAAAAACGTTTGACAATTTTTAAAACCTTGAGTAACAAGTTCCTTGTGATTTATTAGTCATTTATTTTGTTTCAGGGTGTTGGGAGAAGTTGCCAATGTCTCCTGGACTGCAACACAACCTGTAGTTCAAAGCAGTGCTGCTCAAGAAACAAAGACACACAACCAGGCACACAGGACCAGGCCTCCATCAGAAGAGTCTTGTTCCCTTGTCTGGGCAGCATACCCCCTGTAGATGATGTACTCATCCAGGAAGGGGTTTCTGAGAGGAGACCATCGCTGAACCAGGTACTTGCCCACTTGAGAGAGAAGTTTGGGGAACAAGTCAGCTATGATGAGAACAGTGGAGAGATTTTCCTCCTTGAAGCAAAAGAGTCCTCAGTGTAAAGAGTGTTGATGCCACAGTTTGGGTTTTAATCTTCTTTGGAAAAGATGAAAACTTTTATATGAATTTCCTTGCATAATATCTAGCTTGTCTCTGAAGCAAGAAGAAGGAACACTGTAACAACTTATAGTTGTAAGTAACTGTACCAAAGGTGTTAAAAAATGATTTAATTTAAGTGCAATATCAGGAATTGACAAAATTCCATCATAATAATTGTCTTTCACTAATAACAGGGTATGTAACTATGCAAAAGGAAGCTGCTAGGTTCAGAGTAACTTAATCGACTTCTAACTTTTTTTAAACCATTATTATTAATATCATTAAAGGCAGTCTCAAGAGCTGAACGAAACTACTGTTCTGGATCTGTAGTGTTGGGCAGTTATAGAACTTACAACAGGCTGTACCAATACAGATACAGAAGAATTTTTGGGTTGATATTGAAAATTATGTTAACTTTGCAATTCGTTTCTGGATACTTGTTTGTGTCCATTCATAACCTTAGCAATTTTTTTTCCTATTTGGTTTGGCCAAAATGTGATTTTGATCTATGGCAGTCATCCCATTGAAATCCATACTTAAAGCTTCCAAAATGGTGCCCTGCTTATAAAAAGCAGAGGCTGTTACGAAATCTAGGGGTGATCTTGAAAATGAGGTTTGTAACGTGTCGTGTAAGTGGATAGTTTTTAATCAATTTTCCACCTTACCATCAAAAATGCCTTAGGCCTAAAATGACCTTAATCTTCAGCATATACTAGTATATATGAAAACTCTTTGTTTCCTCTGCTGATCAAAGTATTAGTTTTGAAAGGTGGTGTTTTTTTTTGTTGCAATGAATTGACATGGGTGCAGTGCTGCTTTTTTTGTTGCAATGAATTCCTATGTAGTTCAGAGCGAGTGAATCCTGTGTGGTAAGAGTTGGTGTAGGTAATTGGTTAAGATTTGGTGTAAGATTCTGAAATGTGCCATGTTTTTCTATGTCCAATATTTGGCCACTACTGCTTCAGCAATTATCCATCATGCCCACACATGCATGAGGTTCTGCATAGAGGGGCACTACTCAGTTAATGGATTGTAAATAATTCTTTTTTATTTTTCATAATAATCTGTAACTAAATTTTACAAATTTGGTAGATTTTGTATAAATGAAAATGTGTTGTTTTTTATTTAGAAAATTGTACTTGTTTTTTTATTTAGAAAATTATGCCTACTACTACTATACTGACCTCTGTTCTTGAAACTTTGATTTCTACATGGTACATTTTGAAGGCCTCAACAAAAATGTAATAATTTTTTTTAGTTAATTGTACAGCATTGTGTGTTGAACTAATTCCTAAGGTCATACATAAATTATGTAACTATGTTCCAGTGAGAGTTGCATAAAGTGTATTCATAGCATGTCATAAATTAAGAATCTGAGCAGCTACATGTAAGACAGTCTGTGTTAGACTGTTCTAAATTAGCAGTTACTGTATGTGAAGGAAATATATTGTTTGACATGTTTGTCTTTGCTGCTCATTATTTTCTGCTGCAACTGATCATAATCAACATTGATTTTCTTGTAGTTTTGTTTCAAAAGCCTTTGTCAGGGTTTACACAGTTTTCATACGATCTCGTGTGTATACACAGTTTTTGTACCGTCAGCTTTTTGCTCGCATATAAATCAGATCTTTAAGCTGCAACTAGCCACTTTAGAGCAGAACTGAAAAGCTGATCAAGACTGATACCCAGACTATTCTGTATGTCATTGCATGAATTTTCTTCTTTGCCTTTACCAATCATCTCCTATGGAATAATAGACAAAGCGGTTCCTGGTCCGTGGAGTAAGGTAGGATGACTCTGACTCCTTGATTAAATATTTTCATTAATTTTGAAGATCACTTCTTTTCAAATCATCTTTAGACAGAAATGTCTACTCTCATAATACTGCCACTTAAACGATGATAGCACCAAGTTCAAAAAAATGAATTTAATGCAGCTTTAATGATTTCCAAGGGCAAGGCACAGTATACTTCAGGTATCCATCTGTGCAAGACTCATCCTAGGGTGATGAGGACAAAAGTTTATGATCCCTTGTCAGGACAGGGGAGAGCCTTTGGGCAGAACGTACAGTATGACCACTGGCCACAAATAAAACTGACATGCTCGACAGTGTACATCCGTTTCTGGTGATTTTTTAATCCCATTACTAGTATTAGATAATTATTTAATTTTGGGGGGGGGGGCACTCTACCAACCCAGAAAAGAACAACATCTGCTGCACAAAGGTATGTGACAATATAGTTGCAAGATGAATAATCTTCCTGGCAGCTTTATTTGACCCTCTTCTGAGGTACCCATTCCCAGTGTCTTTGCAGTATAATTTAGATAGTCAATATAAAAACATATAGACGTCAGAAGTAACATAGGTAATCTATAATATCCATGAACTGGTGAAAAATTATGGGTCGCCCCATTGCTGAATTGGTTTCACTAAGAATTTGCCATAACAATGGTGGTATTATGAAAGTAGATGTTACACATTGGCTGTAATTGACAAAACCTACAAAATGCTGTATTTTGCAAGATGTTGCTTAATTTTCTTGTAATACCTAGGCCACACCAATTTAATTTCTTGGTTAACGGATTCGCCTCTTCATTTTTTTCTGATTTGCAAATAAAAATAAAAATTCAGAATCAACTGCAAAATGCTCATATTTTGCCCTGAACAGTTGAAAACAGTCCTTTTCTTACTACTTGTTACAGTCATTCCATCTTTCTATGCAGTGCTACTATTAAAAGTTCAAAATTTATTGTTTAAATTTTGAACCAGCCTGGTGTGTTGACTTCATGGGTCCTATCGTACCATTTTAGGCCATAATAGGATGCCTAGGCCTGTTTTTATTTATTTTTTTTTTCGCCCGCCCGCTCCATTATTTTTCTAGAAAAATCCGTTAACCAAGAAATTAAATTGGTGTGGCCCTAGACTTAATTAGAGACTACCATTTTCTGTATCATTGCAAATTTTCTGACTCTTTTTGTCACATACAACATTTTTTTCCATAGGAGTATAACCTCCTGACCAAGCCATCCTTGCCCAGGACTCTACTAACACCCACTGATGCCCTGTGCTCGAATGAGATGCCCAGTTCCTCTCCTCTCGCTACTCTGACAAAACCTCTGCTACAAGTACTTCTCTTGAGTGGATGCAGCAGGACTAGGCAGACAGTAGAGTCTAACAGTTCAGCAGTAGAGGTGGACTCTGAAGCTGGTGATGGGGATCCGCCTGCTGTAGTGTCCTTCCTACCCTGCCTGGGGATACAGCAAACTAACCTCTCCCCTCCCTCCTCAATGCTGGGAATGGTACAGTCCTCCCCCAACTTACAACATCTCTACTTTATAACAGCAGCTTGGATAATCCCAACTACTTGAGCAAAGGGGGATCTCAATCTTCAGTGGGACATTATTTCACTGAAGAATATTGGTCCAGTGACCAATATGATATTGAGATTGACACTGAAAATACACTGAAACTTCACAAATTGATTTCCTTCGTATATTGCAGTAAGTGTGTTAATTTTCAGTTTGTTGTCACGAAGAAAAGACCAGGTTCAAACTGAAGCTATCCCTGTCCTTGGTGCTGAAAGCAATCCCTACACAATGTCCCTCTCCCCTGTTCGTGATAATATTACGAGGTTGCCGAGCATTTTCACCTCTCCTAACCTCATAGATCGGCTCCTTTCAGGACAGGACAGGTCTGTCCGTCTGTGTGAACGTGTGTCAGCACCAAGGACAGGTCTGTTCGTCTGTGTGAACGTGTGTCAGCACCAAGGACAGGTCTGTCCGTCTGTGTGAACGTGTCTCAGCACCAAGGACAGGCCTGTCCGTCTGTGTGAACGTGTGTCAGCACCAAGGACAGGTCTGTCCGTCTGTGTGAACGTGTGTCAGCACGAAGTACAGGTCTGTCAGCCTATGTGTGAACGTGTGTCAGCACCAAGGGCAGGTCTGTCCGGCTGTGTGAACATGTGTCAGCACCAAGGACAGGTCTGTCCGTCTGTGTGAACGTGTGTCAGCACCAAAGACAGGTCTGTCCGTCTGTGTGAACGTGTGTCAGCACCAAGGACAGGTCTGTCCGGCTGTGTGTGACCGTGTGTCAGCACCAAGGACAGGTCTGTCGGTCTATGTGTGAACGTGTGTCAGCATCAAGGACAGGTCTGTCGGCCTATGTGTGAACGTGTGTCAGCACCAAGGACAGGTCTGTCGGCCTATGCGTGAATGTGTGTCAGCACCAAGGACAGGCCTGTCGGCCTATGTGTGAACGTGTGTCAGCACCAAGGACAGGTCTGTCCGTCTGTGTGAACGTGTGTCAGCACCAAGTACATGTCTGTCGGCCTATGTGTGAACGTGTGTCAGCACCAAGGACAGGTCTGTCGGTCTATGTGAACGTGTGTCAGCACCAAAGACAGGTCTGTCCGTCTGTGTGAACGTGTGTCAGCACCAAGGACAGGTCTGTCCGTCTGTGTGAACGTGTGTCAGCACCAAGTACATGTCTGTCGGCCTATGTGTGAACGTGTGTCAGCACCAAGGACAGGTCTGTCGGTCTATATGCGTGAACGTGTGTCAGCACCAAGGACAGGTCTGTCGGTCTATATGCGTGAACGTGTGTCAGCACCAAGGACAGGTCTGTCGGCCTATGTGTGGCAACGTAACACGATCGAATAGTCCAAACCTGAGTACAAGGGATCCCCTACACACCCTGGCCCAGTCTACAGAAGTGCACCAACATTAGTATTTTTCGTAATTAGATATACTCTTAATCTAATCGTCCTTCATCGACACATATAAGTGCCTGGCGCCGAAACGGGCCGTCATTGGTCGTCATAATTAGATTACCAACTTCACATTAATTATGCACGGCCGTTCTGCACACCTGTGTAAAAACAAGGTTGGCATGATCCTTTTCGTTCAAAATGGCGCTTTCGTACGACGGAAATACTCTGGGCTGATCTTTTTCAAACTTACTGGGTCCTCTTTGACGTTTTTGTCGGTAGAATGTCTTAGTAAGTGTGCAGCAGAATGTCTGGGAGTGTTCGCTGAGGATCTGTACCGTTCTGGTGATGTTTTGAAGAGAAAGTGCGGATTTCTTCACCTAGCTGGCGAATTTTGGAGAAGACAAAAATGGCGAGACAGTTGGGAAGAGTAGCGTGGTATAGGGACGACTTCGCTCATTGTTGCAGGTAAACCATTACATTGTTTGGCTGACATTATTCCTTAGCAACTAGTACGAACATGTCAAGTTATATATTCCGTAAGAAATGACCTATTTCTGTATTAGGGAGCGGCCGTTCCTAATTTTAAACAGGCATAGCAAGGTCTATCAAGTTGCCGTGTTTTCAACAACATTTTCAATGTGTGATGCGCTTGTAGAGTATATATAAAATGTATGTGCATGTCTTTTTAGTCAGTTGTTCAGCGTTTTGAGGTTAGATTTGTTGAAAGAAAATGTTTATCGACCAAACCTTTTTCTTTATCTCCACGTGGTTCAAAACACCTGTTGGAATGTGGCCGTGTACATGATTAGTTATGTTTCCCGCCAAAAGTTTGCGTAACCAAGATGGTGGCCTCGAAGCTTCAGGGCGCCGAAATGAATTCGATACAAAACGGTTGAAAACTAGTTATGTCGAGGTCACGGACCATACTTTCGTTCTTCACTATCATTTGCAATGTATTATGTATAATTTAAAAGCTTGTTCGTTTCCATCATCATCTTCTGGCGGCTGCATTTGAGCAGACGACCGTGAGTTCCCTCCAGTTAGTCCTGTTCTGGGCTATGTCAGCAATCCGCTTCGAGGAAAGGTCCGAGTTGTTGTCGCCCAGCAACCGTTGTATGTACTGTAGGTAGGTGGTGGGTTGGTGACCACGTCTCCTTCTACCATGAGGTGGCACGTTTCCATTTTAGAGCAATTCAGTAAATAGTATTAAAATGACCAAGCCCACGTATTTCTGGCACAAACACTACACTACACTACACTACCTCACTTCAAGGTAGCAATTCCTGTTTTCAAAACATTTTGCGCCGTGTGTTCTCGTATTCCACATAAAGTTTCAGTTGAAGGGGGTTGATTTATTTTATTGTTGTTTCTATCCACGATTTTTATGGTCATTATGTACAATTTTCGTTGAGGTATGTGTTTGTTTTAAAGTAAGGATATTATATATACATTTAAGGTGTGTGTGTGCATTGTTATTTTTTAATTTGAGAGAAGTGTTCAACTTATGTGTTCAACTTATAATGCATGTATGGTTAGATGATGGCTGATGCAGTAGTGAGAACTTCTGTCTGAACCCGACAAGACAGATTGGAGAAATGATTTGAAGACCGAAGAGGAATATCAGGTGACAAAAATCTGAAATCTGCATTTTACCTACAGTTAATTTGAGTTGAGACAAGCGTGTAACTTCTAATGTCTGTATATAGTTAGGTGATATGACTGATGCAGTTTGTAGTGAGGACTGATACTGTCTGAACCTGACAAGACAGATTGGACCAGACCAGATGATTTGATGACCCAAGAGGAATATCAGGTGATTCCAATTCTGCATTTTAACTACCATTTACTTGGTATTATTTGAGACAAGTGTGCAACTTTTAATGTCTGTAGATATTGTAGTTACAGTACATGTACTGTAGGTTGCTGCTGACTGATGCAGTAGTACTGTAACTGCCTGTACCTGACAAGACAGACTGGACCAGACCAGATGATTTGAAGACCCAGGAGGAATATCTGTTAGGTGAGAAAAATCCCAATTCTTAATTTTACCTACACTGCTATTTGAGACAAGTGTGTAACTTCTGATGTCTGTATAGTTAGGTGGCTGCTGACTGATGCAGTAGTGGTGAATTCTTCGTATACCTGACAAGAGAAGATTGGACCACATCGGGTGATTTAAAGACACAAGAGCAAGATGACAACAACAACATCCACAGGTGAGATAATGATTGCTTTCGAAGATCTGTTTGACTCTCTTCCCTTATGTCTTACACTTTATAAAAATAACACACATGTAGCAAAACATCTTTCACATTAATTTTGCATTTCCTTTGACTTGAATAAATGACTAGTATATTACACTTCTTGGGCACTTGTCAACATTTCTAGGAAGAGGCAAAGTAAAAGGTTGCATACAAGAGTTCGTCTTTACCTTCATCACATATGTTATTATAATTATTATTAAGAACTCTGAGGTGTAACATGCTACAAGTACAATACATTTTGTATCTATACTCCTTCTCACATCTTCAAACGATTCATCTGACAAAAGAGGTTACATTGTATAATGTCTCAAGTATAACCTTGGTCCCACATTGCACTTTTAGTCATTTGAGATACAGCACGTCATACTTTTTGCTCTGTGCTTTGGACCTTTACAGGCAGCATTTAGCTCCATTCTTACTGTCATAAACTTGCATGTTGTGTGACATAATGCAATGCATTAGTAAGGCCAATTGCTGTCAGTACAGTGACTTTTGTTTCTTTGTCTTCAAGATGGGGACCTGGAGACTAGACTGCAACTGAGGAGGAAGAACCAGACTTTTGTAGGCAGGGCTGCGTGAAAGAAGAATTGGGGAGGAGTGAGTATGGTTTCTTTATTAACATGAGACAACACTCCACATGCGCACACTTGCACTCACACTTGCTTTTTTCGTGAGGTCAGCCCATTTAACGTTTATTGTAGCCGGCAACTTCAATTTCATGTCAAGCAACACTGAAAAATTCTTCATATTGTATGGTTGAATGCCAAATTGCCCCTAAATTGTTGCTTCAGACCATTACACTTAAATTCTTCCGCTGAAAAACTTCGTCTCTTAGCTGGCCGCATCAATTCCTTTAATAGTCATCCTCTTCATATCCTATGCATCCCAAATTGCCCCCAAAATTGTCGCTTTGGACCTTTACACTTAAATTCTCCTGCCAAAAAAACTTGTCTATCTTTGTACTACTTCCTTGTTCAGTCCATTTTCCCCGCCAAAAAAAAAAATTGGCACCCTCACCTGTTTAATTAATTGGATTAAGTTTTCCCGCCAAAAAACTTAGTATATAGAGCACTCTAACCTTGAACTTGTGCCCCCCTCCCCACTCTTCCTGCCCACCTTCCACAACTCAGAGTATGTTAGTTACTCTGTTCTCTGGACTTCTTCGAACATGTAGTCACCACACTGCTACACAAACACTTTGTTGATCGAGTGCAGTTTTTCCCACCACTTAGACTTTAGAATAATTTCTCGCTCGGTCAATTGCACTGGTATACTGATGTGTCGAAGCATCAATGTCTCCGAAAAGACAATCCCCTGGGGAGTACACTTAGTGCATTGACTGACCAGGAGAGCAAGAGATTATTCTAAAGTCTAAGTGGTGGAAAAACTGCACTCGATCAACAAAGTGTTTGTGTAGCAGTGTGGTGACTACATGTTCGAAGAAGTCCAGAGAACAGAGTAACTAACATACTCTGAGTTGTGGAAGGTGGGCAGGAAGAGTGGGGAGGGGGGCACAAGTTCAAGGTTAGAGTGCTCTATATACTAAGTTTTTTGGCGGGAAAACTTTATCCAATTAATTAAACAGGTGAGGGTGCCAATTATTTTTTTTGCAGGAGAATTTAAGTGTAAAGAAAGGTCTGAAGCGACAATTTGGGATGCATACAACATGAAGAGGATAACTAGAGAATTCATGCGGCCAGCTAAGATTCAAAGTTTTTCAGTGAGAATTTAAGTATAAAAGTCCAATTTTAAAGCGACAATTTTGGGGCAATTTGGGATTCATACAATATGAAGAGGATAACAACGTGGAATTCATGCAGCCGGCTTGGATGCAAAGTTTTTCGGCAGGAGAATTTAAGTGTAAAGGTCTGAAGCAACAATTTAAGGACAATTTGGCATTCAACCATACAATATGAAGAATTTTTAAGTGTTGCTTAACATGAAATTGAAGTCACCAGCTACAATAAACGTTAAATGAAGAAAGAGAAATGTGAGTGCAAGAGAAAAGAGAAATGTGAGTGCAAGTGTGTGCATGTGGAATGTTGTATCGTGTTAATAAAGAAACCATACTCACTCCTGCCTATCTTCCCCCTGTTGCAGTCCAGTCTCGGGGTCCGCATCTTGAAGACAAGGAAACAAAAGTCACTGTATTGACAACAGCAATAGGCCTTACTAATGCAAGATATTTTGTCACACAACATGCAAGTTTATGACAGTAAGAATGGAGCTAAATGCTGCCTGTAAAGGTCCAAAGCACAGTGCAAAAAGTATGACGTGCTGTATCTCAAATGACTAAAAGTGCAATGTGGGACCAAGGTTATACTGGAGACATTATACAATGTAACCTCTTTTGTCAGACGAATCGTTTGAAGATGTGAAAAGGAGTATAGATACAAAATGAATTGTACTTGTAGCATGTTACACCTCAGAGTTCTTAATAACAATAATAACATATGTGATGAAGGTAAAGACGAACTCTTGTATGCAACCTTTTACTTTGCCTCTTCCTAGAAATGTTGACAAGTGCCCAAGAAGTGTAATATACTAGTCATTTATTCAAGTCAAAGGAAATACAAAATTACTGTGAAAGATGTTTTGCTACGCATGTGTGTTATTTTTATAAAGTGTAAGACATAAGTTAAGAGAGTCAAACAGATCTTCAAATTAAAGCAATCATTATCTCACCTGTGGATGTTGTTGTTGTCATCTTGCTCTTGTGTCTCTAAATCACCCGATGTGGTCCAATCTTCTCTTGTCAGGTTTAGACAGTAGTCTTCAATACTGCATCAGTCAGCAGCCACCTAACTATACAAACAGTAGAAGTTACACAATTGTCTCAAATAAAAAAGTACATAGTAGGTTGAATGCAAAATTCCGATTTTTCTCACCTGAGAGTCATCTTTGGGACTCAAATCACCTGGTCTGGTCCAATCTTCTCTTGTCAGGTATACGAAGAATTCACCACTACTGCATCAGTCAGCAGCCACCTAACTATACAGACATCAGAAGTTACACACTTGTCTCAAATAGCAGTGTAGGTAAAATGAAGGATTGGGATTTTTCTCACCTAACAGATATTCCTCTTGGGTCTTCAAATCATCTGGTCTGGTCCAGTCTGTCTTGTCAGGTACAGGCAGTTTAAGTAGCCACTACTACTGCATCAGTCAGCAGCCACCTACAGTACATGTACATGTAACTACAATATGTACAGACATTAAAAATTACACACTTGTCTCAAATAATACCAAGTAAATGGTAGTTAAAATGCAGAATTGGAATCACCTGATATTCCTCTTGGGTCATCAAATCATCTGGTCTGGTCCAATCTGTCTTGTCAGGTTCAGACAGTATCAGTCCTCACTACAAACTGCATCAGTCATATCACCTAACTATATACAGACATTAGAAGTTACACGCTTGTCTCAACTCTAATTAACTGTAGGTAAAATGCAGATTTCAGATTTTTGTCACCTGATATTCCTCTTCGGTCTTCAAATCATTCGTCCAATCTGTCTTGTCAGGTTCAGACAGAAGTTCTCACTACTGCATCAGCCATCATCTAACCATACATGCATTATAAGTTGAACACATAAGTTGAACACTTCTCTCAAATTAAAAACTAGCAATGCACACACACACCTTAAATGTATGTATAATATCTTTACTTTACAACAAACACATACCTCGACGAAAATTGTACATAATGACCATAAAAATCGTGGATACAAACAACAATAAAATAAATCAACCCCCTTCAACTGAAACTTTATGTGGAATACGATAACACACGGCGCAAAATGTTTTGAAAACAGGAATTGCTACCTTGAAGCATAGTCAACTGTAGTGTTTGTGCCAGAAATACGTGGGCTTGGTCATTTTAATACTATTTACTGAATTGCTCTAAAATGGAAACGTGCCACCTCATGGTACAAGGAGACGTCACGGGAACTCACGGTCGTCTGCTCAAATGCAGCCGCCAGATGATGATGATGGAAACGAACAAGCTTTTAAATTATACATAATACATTGCAAATGATAATGAAGAACGAAAGTATGGTCACCTCGACATAACTAGTTTTCAACCGTTTTGTATCGAATACATTTCGGCGCCCTGAAGCTTTGAGGCCACCATTTTTGGCGGGAAACATAACTAATCATGTACACGGCCACATTCCAACAGGTGTTTTGAACCACGTGGAGATAAAGAAAAAAGTTTGGTCGATACACATTTTCTTTCAACAAATCTAACCTCAAAACGCTGAACAACTGACTAAAAAGACATGCACATACATTTTATATATACTGTACAAGCGCACCACACATTGAAAATGTTGTTGAAAACGCGGAAACTTGATAGACCTTGCTAAGCCTGTTTAAAATTAGGAACGGCCGCTCCCTAATACAGAAATAAGTAACTTCTTACGGAATATAACTTGACATGTTCGTACTAGTTGCTAAGGAATAATGTCAGCCAAACAATGTACTGGTTTACCTGCAACAATGAGCGAAGTCGTCCCTATACCACGCTACTCTTCCCAACTGTCTCGCCATTTTTGTCTTCTCCACAATTCGCCAGGTGAAGAAATCCGCACTTTCTCTTCAAAACATCACCAGAACGGTACAACTCCTCAGCGAACACTCCCAGACATTCTGCTGCACACTTACTAAGACATTCTACCGACGAAAACGTCAAAAAGGACCCAGGAAGTTTGAAAAAAAATCAGCCCAGAGTATTTCCGTCGTACGAAAGCGCCATTTTGAACGGAGTCAACGGACCATGCCAACCTTGTTTTTACACAGGTGTGCAGAACGGCCGTGCATAATTAATATGAAGTTGGTAATCTAATTATGACGACTAATGGCGGCCCGTTTCGGTGCCAGGCACTTATATGTGTCGAAGGACGATTAGATTAAGAGTATCTAATTACGAAAAATACTAACGTTGGTGCACTTCTGTAGACTGGGCCAGGGTGTGTAGGGGATCCCTTGTACTCAGGTTTTGACTATTCGATCGTGTTACGTTGCCACACATAGGCCGACAGACCTGTCCTTGGTGCTGACACACGTTCACACAGACGGACAGACCTGTCCTTGGTTCTGACACACGTTCACACAGACGGACAGACCTGTCCTTGGTGCTAACACACGTTCAGACCTGTCCTAGACATTAAGATGTCCATAAGTTTGTATTACATGTAATTGCTTAATTGCAACGGTGAATGCTCTGGTAACTTTTATCATAATTTATCCACGTGATGTGATTGTTAGCTAGTATTCGTAGCTTATACATTATGCCCAGTCGAGTTCCTTTTTCTCAGACTTTTAAAGTTACAAACCTTTCAAAGTAGTACTTCTAGCAAGATGGAGAAGTGAAATATTTTTATATCAATTAAAGAGTACATACGTACATTGTAGCATGAAGTAAAGAGCACACAAAAAAACACACAACACAAGTAGAATGTTGCCCTTATATTTACATTAAAATGCAGGAGGTTGTTCCAGCCTGTTTCATGCAGCTTGGATTCTGTACAACAGAACATACGGGATTTTCAATATCCTCTTCATTGGTACATTAAATCATACAGTGAACTGTGCATCAGCCCTTAGAGTAATGTTATGCAGAGCAAGAGTGTAGAGTGTGTTGTTTCTGTTCAAATAACAACTGTTACCCATAAGGCCCCGCTTTCCACTGCATGGTAACTGTTGAACGACTGAAAACTTTCGTATGATCTACGATTTCATAAAAGCATGATTTGAAAGACAACAAAACACAAAAAGCTTACAGAATGTGTCTCTTTATCATGAAATTAATTTTGACTATCATGTTTTTTTGGTCGCTTCATTAACAGATATCACCTCAGTGGAAAGGGGGTATAATGCAGCAATAACAAACACATGCTTCTCCAAAATACAGCAGAATTTTTCCATGATCCTCAAGAGTCTTCTTCTGGCATAATTAAAGATATAGGTGCATTTGGTACTGTTGAAGACCACACAAGATAGTACTAGTCTAGTAACTAGACTATATTTCACTGTTAAAATCAAATAATGTGCATTTACATGCATATGCACATAGCACTGTGCAAAAGCATGCTGCTTCATGATAAAAAAAACATTTAACTTTCATACAATAACAGACCAAGCCAGGAATTTCAAACATTGGTGGTTTGAACAATGTCAAAGAATAGCATGTATTACTAATCAGAATGGAATGAACATTTGGTATCTAATGGATGTTTGGTCAATGTTGCATCAGAATAATGGGCATTGCATACAATATCTCTTTGGACAGAACTACATGGATCCAAAATACAGGATATTCTCATGCTTATGTTCTGGCTATATTTTGGGTAAATGCTCCGAAGAATGCATTGAAAATGCATACTGAGGCATACTGGGACATGTACACTGGCATGTAGTGCTGAAAAAGCCACTAGCAGTATCCCAGAATACCTTGTTGACATCCCAGAATACCTTGTTGAAATTGTAAAGGTGTTGATCACAGATCTGTGGAAATAAAGACGAACAACAGAATAACAGTACTACAATTTAAAGAACGTGATAAAGAAGCAGTAGACAGTCATAAATGTCAGTTGATTTAAAATTCTGCTTTGCATGATTCAAGTTGGAGTGCATACATTCTGTATGCAAACAATACGTTAAATATACCCCGAAAATGTCCTGGAGTGATATTAGTGGTTAGACGTCTTTACATGCAGTATAGAAGAAATCATATATTCCCTCATTACTTCATCCCATACATTTCCATTCCAAAATGTAAACCTTAACATCTACTTAGTCTAGTATCACACATTATCATGATCATCCTTTCAACAAAACCAACAAAATCTGATGACCCTCAGACCTCCAAAACAAAACCATCTCAACTTGTTACAAACTTAAGGTCCATCAACTAATCATCATTTGCATTGAAAGCTGCATTTATTTCAATTAAAAGTTATCAATAATTTTGCAGAAATTTACACACCGTGTCACTTACACCACATGCAGAACACTCATAAAATGCTGCTTACTGTTCAGGGGCATTAGGCAGGCAAGAATTCATTGTTGTGCACCTTTCAAATGTTTCCACTACTGATACCAATATGTGCTTACAGCAGCAAATTGCACATTGGATGAAACTGCAAGCTAAACCAAGCTTAGGGTAAAACTATCAGTGAAGTCAGGTATATACTGGCCAATAAAAAACTCTGGCTCAAGTTAAGCTGACCAATTAGAAGTATGCAATTAGGCCCTATAGCCAGCCTATGCTATGTAAAAGTTGCATTCAATGAAGAAAATGGTCTTCAATGAGAGTTTTAAACACAGTTTGAATACTAGACATCTTCCTTTTGTTCAGAACTGGCTCACAATATTTGACATCAAGCGAAAACCATCCACACTTCACATTGTCTACAAAACTCTCTCTCATCTGATACTCTCTTAAGTACTGTACCTACTTCTACACATATCCCAATTCCATTGGTGTCTTCCTGACTGGATTTTACATTACACAATACCTGGAAAGCTAAATGTACTATCTTTTACCTTTGACACTCGCACCACATTGTCCAATGTACCAGATAGCACTGACAAAACCTTTACAATTTACCACTGACTGCAACACAAGATGTACAATGTATCTTCTAAGTGTCTGGTAGTATAAATCTTTAGCTTTAGGGTCTGTGTTAAGTAGCCCTTGTACCAGTTTGTGTGCATAATATTTCATTGTTGACTAAGAGGAAAAGCCAATTGAAAAAGTTCCCATCTCTCCATACTATTCAAATTCATGACTGTGGAATAGTAGAACTGCGTTGCAGCAAGGTTTACCTCAATCTGTGGCTTCATTCCAAATAGCTCTAACTTGTTTGAACTCACTCCGCTGTGGTCTAAGCCCCTCACCAAATTTGAATTGGTTGAAGCAATTTAGCAATGGTTTCACAACTAAAAAATACTGGATCCTCCTATTCACTCAGAGGGAAGTTAGACATAGAAAAAGGTCTGGGATGGGTTTTTAATTTTTGGAAGTTACGTAATTATATATTATATTAATAATATATAGCATTTTAGGTAACTTAAAAGCACACCATAATTGAAAGTGCACAGTCTCTCTAGTGGTCTGTATGTTTTTCTGTTCCCTCTATCTGCTTGGAGATAACCCCTACCTAAGCCTGGTACCCATCTTACTCTAACTCTGGTTTGCTTCTCTAACGACGTCTGTACAGAAAAGTCCAAGGCATCGTAATAGAGAAAAGATTGTCATTTGAATTTTTGCCTACGATAGCTCTGAGTCATACTGTCCTTGTGAGTTTATGGTAATGGGGTTCGAACAAGCATTTTGAAGTCTGATCCCTGGTACACTGCTGTAAAATATTTGATTCTCCCCCCTCCAAAAAAGCAGGATGTACAGTGTAAGGACTAAACGTTACAATAGGGAAGCGGGCTGGACTATGTTGCATAGACTGAAGTAATTGTTGGAGTGAACTGGAGCTAGAATGGGTTGGATACCAGGTTCTCTCTAGCTACCCTGTCAGTGGAACAGTGAGTTCCCGTCAGGCCCGGGTATGACCACACCTTCTCTGTACGCGACGTAACACGCCAGCACTGCCAGTGATAGGACGACAGCTGCACCAATCAGAGCCTTCAGGGAGGCCTTCCAGGTGCTCTGGAACTTCGCCGGCGCCGCTACAGCAAGGAATGCGGTGCACGCCGTGAGCGCGTACAGGATGGACATGGCGGTGTTGATGGCGACGATTTCGCCGAACTTGGAGAACGGGACGAAGGTGGTGAAGCAGAGAGGGATGGCGGCGATGATGGTTGTCACGGCGCTGCTGATGATTGACACACCGATGTGGCTGACGGCAACCTTTGCTCGCCAGCGCCGTAAATGTGCGTTGGACTGAAAAACAAGTCCATTTGTCAAAACAAAGTTGCCTCTACATGTAACATGCCAACACATAAAAACACACATTCTAAAGCACTTGTTATGCAGACATATATAATAAATCATACAAACAGAACATACTTGACAGCCGGTAATATTTCAAAAACTGTCCTCTAATATCCGGCAATATTTTCTTCATTTTGCAGCAAAGATTTTGCAATCTACAGAAGGCTTTAGGTGGTTTGGAAAAAAAAGGGGTATGTGAAATGTTTTTTTTTGGTAATAAGTCCGGACTCGGTTCTTGACTTTTAGGTTTTTTTTGGACTTGAACCTAAACATTCTTACAAGTCCGGATCCAAGTCCAGTGAACCGGTACACAGCACAAGCATTTGATAAAGACATACGAAACCAGAATTGAAACAAATTAAGGTTACATGTACCTGTAGAGCTTGGCTGGGTGGGTTTTTCCCTGCTAGAAGGTAACCCTCTACAAGATGTGCACAGTAGTCCACAGATGACCCAACCAGGATGGAGAGAGAAATGGCCTCCACTGCACCAATCTGCCACCCAGCAATGAAGAACACAGCTACTACACTGCAAATCACTCCTGTATATAACGACACGACACAGGTACATTTACATATTGTAGTTATAATATACACTAACCTTGGAACTACATAATTGTAAAGACACAATAGCTAAGAGTCAATTAAGTATTGTAAATCACTAAAGGTAGCAAAAGTTTGCAGTCTGAGAAAAATGGAAATATTTGTGGAGCTACATGTAATACGTTTGCAAGAAAGTCTGCATATTTTTTGTTCAAGGTAATTACAAGTACTGAGGTGACTGGGAAAACTGTGAATATTAAAGTACCTCGAAAAAATTGTAATTTACAGTATGTTTATGTATGTGGATAGGACAAAAATGCTCTGAGATACAAGGCCGCATATCATGTTATAACTCTTTACAGAGACCTACATGTATCTGCAAAACAATGAACAAGGCCTGAAAAGTATAGACATGTGAAAAATGAAAGAGTTGACAGAAAAAAATAAATTGTGTGTTCTTGGTACAGAACAGGTGCAACGCACCACAGTTTTGTTTACAAGTTATAGAAATTAATAAAATAAATATACATCAACAAACAAACAAACACTATAAGCCCTTCATATCCACGTACCAAGTATAGTGAAGAACACAATGAACAGCAGCATGACATGTCCAGTGAACACCACCACAGCCAGGATACAGATGACCATGGACAGCACCAGCCCGTAGATGGCACTGCTCACTCCCACAATCTCCATGAAGATCTCCTTCCAGTAGTCGCAGGTCTGGAAGCCAGACTTCAGGCCGGAGTTGGCGGGAAGCTTGTCGATCTCCTGCTTCAGGAAGGCTTCCCAGGCCTGGTAGTCATGGTAGGAGGAGAAGGAGGACTGGCCCTTGTAGGTGGTCTGGGGGGAACAGAAGAGGAGAGACTTGTTAGTTTGAACCATTGAGAATCTTTAGTCACGAAAGCTCGAATTGGCCTGCAGGCTGCTTTTCATTGAGGTCATGGGGGAGGTAAGGGTCACCCACTAATTGTCACCCACTATTTTTCATCCATAAACGAGATCTTACATTAGGAGAAATAATATTATATCTTAATGATGATGAATGTGTACACATTTCATTTAGAAAACTACCCTGGTTAAAGAAAACAGAAAGAAATGACCATGAATAAACAAGATCAAAGTGTGACTTACTGATTCGAAGGACATGGCGACCCATCTGACCTCTCGGCCGATGATGCCGACCGCGGCCTTGGTGGTCTCCCCGTGCACCAGGTTAGGTTTGGGCAGGTCCTGACAGGACGGGTACTGATCAAACGCCTTCCCACCAGGCATCAGGGTCTGCAGGTAACGCTCCGCCTCTGGCGAAGGAGAGGATACAAGAAGAATAACTTTATTCCACGAAAACTTTAGCAGTTAACAACGTATGGTTAACATATACATAATATTACATAGTAGCTATTGCTACCAGGGTAACATTCATATAACAATATTAACAGATAATCGAATAATCGTCCCTACGATTGTGGGCATCAGACGAAAGAAGAAGTCTTCTAAGAAGTGGCAGTTCTAACAGTTCTAAGAAGCTAATCTACTAGTTAAGGGTTAATGTCCCGCCCCGAGGTGAATATGGTGTGATAAAGCCTTGTCAGTTGCTATAACCACCGAATAAAGCCACCAAGTGAGCGCAGCGAACGAGGTGGCTTTATGAGGTGGTTATAGCAACTGACAAGGCTTTATCACACCATATTCACCGAGAAAGGGCGGGCCATTAACACTATTATCATATAGCTTACACGATAGCCTATCCAAACTGATGCAGTGAAGAGTGACACAATGTACCCTTGCACATGCTGAATAGAACATAGAATGTTTGTTCCGTCTGGAGTCACCTGAGGTCACTGGGGGGTTCATGTTCTATGTCTTCTATCTGGGTCACAGGCAGGGAACAGGTGTTCTTATGGGAGTCATTGGAACACAACTCAAGTTATTTTTGGATTTTTTAGAAGTAGAGCCATGTTCAATTGGGTCACCTGAGGTCATATGCGGGTGATTATTCATTTTGTTTAATGTATGGATTGGGATGAATAAATACCCGATTTTGACTCTATTTGTGACATTACGGCGACATAAAGAATGTGGAATGGAGCCTTCTGATTGGTCAACGTCACGCGGCTATATGATAATATATTATAACGAACGACAGTTCAAGGCTGAACAATAAAACGCGATATAAACGTTTTTCAAGCTCGGTAAAATGCGGTAATGAATTCCCCACCGTCCACATAACTTCTTGCAGCAGACGCGCTCACAAATTATCCTGCAAATTTCAAAGGGGCGTTCGCTCCAATCCTTTCTGTGATATAGAGAGCGGCTGACATCCTGCATAAGGCCACAACAAGTAAATTTCATGGATGACATCTTCCACAGATTCCAAATCTAATGTAAGCGGGCGAAAAAAACAAGGCGGGCCGAAAAAAAAAGGTTTCTACAATTCAAAATTTTTGACTCAATCATTGTACAACGGTTTTGATTCAGTAGAAGCATCACATGTACACAGCCAGCATAACATATCACTGCAAGAAACAATGTAAGAAACAAAACATTAAATCTGAGCCTTTTCTTGCCTCCTCTCTTCATAGTTATCTGCCACCCACCTTCCGGCATGGCAACAGACATCTTTGCCCATTTTCGGCATGTTGACCACTGTCAGAAGGCAACATTTTTTTCCAAAATCAGGCGGAAATTAGTGCGCGCGCTGATGTCATCCATAAAATTTACTTGCTGTGGCCTAATTTCCATCGCTTTGGATGAATCCATCACTTTCATAAAAGCGAGGCGGCACAGATGCTGCCAGTCAGGCGTGAAATATTAACCAATCCCCGCACGGCAGCTTTCGACAAGGCAATAAACTGGCCTCATCTTTCACTAGGCCTACCCTTTTAACGGGGGTTTACGGAACCATAGGCAGCGGTCTTATAGTGAGACCGTGGCCTCAAATATGGTCATGGATATCACGTCTCTGGTCTTTGGAAAAATCACAGGTGAACTCTCTGAATCCTTAAAGATAGCTTCAAGAGATTGTAGTTGGAATATGAGCAATTGCCAGCACAATCAGAAAGTTGTGTTGCATTAGGACTTTGGCTTCGAATATAAGGGGGTTTACAGAACCATAGGCAGCGGTCTTATAGTGAGACTGTGGCCTCAAATATGGATATCACGTCCCTGGTCTTTCAAGCAAAATCACAGGTGAACTCTCTGAATCCTTGAATATTTTCACGAGATTGTAGTTGGGATATGACAAAGCACAATCAGAAATGGTATTGGACTGTGGCTTCAGATATGGCTATTTATATCACATCTTTGGTCTTTCAAGCAAAATTATAGGTAAACTGTCTGAATCCTTAAATAGTTTCAAGAGATTGTAGTTGGAATATGACCAATTGCCAGCACAATCAGAAAGTTGTGTTGCATTAGGACTTTGGCTTCGAATATAAGGGGGTTTACAGAACCATAGGCAGCGGTCTTACAGTGAGACTGTGGCCTCAAATATGGTCATGGATATCACGTCCCTGGTATTTCTGGACTAAATTACAGGTGAACTCTCTGAATCCTTGAATAGTTGCATGGGATTGAGTTGGGATAT